AGAAACTTAAATAATATGTCAGGAATTGATGATACTTCCGCAGATAAATCTTAAGTTTGCTGAAAAGAAAAATCAGGTCATGATCAATGCAGATACTTTGAAGTTCATATGCAAATCATGGGAATGCAATTGATCATCCTAATTATTAAATTCCTACGGAATCAAACTGCAGATGATTGCATTAAGCAGTTACAAGAAGTTTACTTTTTTATGTTGCATTTTCTTCTAATATTAATCTCTTAAATCTTTCATATTTGGCAGTCATTCCCGCAAATCACTGAAATTGCTATAAGATCGCACAGTTCTTAAATTATTTTGAAAGTACTCCTCAAATCATTGAAATCACTATTAGATTCCCCAATTCTCATAAAATTGTTTCAAATTAATCCCTCAAATTACCACTTTTACTCTTGATTGGAGGGACAACTTCAAAATTAATTAAGAGTTAGGGGAGCATAATAGCAATTTCAATGATTTGAGGGACTAGTTTCAAAATAACTTAAGAATTGGGGACCTAATGGCAGTTTCAATGATTTGGGACTAATTTCAAATATGAAAGATTTAAGGGACTAATATGGAAAAGCCACTTTTATGTTAGGTAGTTTTATTTGTTTATATTCTGCCACAGATACTTGGAGGTGATGAACCTGTATGGCTGTATCTAATACATACTGGAAGCATGATGGAAGTCTCTGATGCATGAATGTCAAGGTTAGCAATTCAACTCAACTGATAGATGCATTATATGATTTTATTTTCTTAATGATATATCAAGGATAACAATTTTTCTGGCAATTTCATATTTATAAACCTAGAAGTTTATTTCATGATATGGCTATCATACATAATCATTTGAAATTTACTAATCTATTACACATGCAGTCATACATATCTGTGCATGAATGTTAATGCATAAATACATGTATGCCTACGAGCCTTTCTGCTTGATGGGCATTAAAATTTGTCAAATCCATACACCAGTATAGTATAATATGATATCATGAATCAAGAGAATTATTAATTAGCTATTAAGTTTAAGCTATAGTTGGAAAATTAGTGACATTACAAAAATGGGTAAGTTCTTGAAACCATACCGTGTTGGATCTGCAAGCAACTGATCCATGTCTGCTCTTGAAAGGCGAGGAGCTGTTTCCTTAGAATTTTCATTTTCAAAGTTACCTTAAACCAAGGTAATAGAGCAAGTTAGCTGCATATCTTAAAAAAAAGCTACCGGTCTAGCTTGGAGTTCAGAACCAACCTTCATTTAGAGTTGAATCTCTGGAATCTCTAAAGTGAAGACCCACCAAAAGACTGTAGTCCATGATCCTCTCCTGCTCAAGCAAGTCACAGTCCCTATCTATCTGCCTGCAGTTTACATATGTTAATAATTGAAACTACGTGGGTCAAGATATCTCAGGAGGATCCTAAAATTCCCATATGAGAATCATATATGAATGGAGAGATGAATCGAGTGAAGCTTTACATTACCTACGGAATTCTTGGAACCAGGACTTATGCAATCGGAATATGTAATTAAGATCAAGGTCTTTGAGAGTCGTATTCTCATCAATCTCTGATTCAGCTTTATCAGTCGTTCGGCCATGAGAGGACCCTTTCAGGTCGAAGCGCCTGTGGATAATGTACTCAGAGCAGAAAAGATTTCCCATGATAACAAACCGCACCTGATTTAATGTAATAATACAAGTCACATACTTTTGAAACCACAATGCAAATGTCAAGTTTTTGAGACTGAAATAATGTCTCAGGCTTTATGCTCACCTTCTTTTGGGCTGTCCCAGTTAGTTTGACACAGTGCAGACCAAAGAACTTTGCTACAAGAGTATTTTCATAAGAACGAACATGCTTATAATAAGCTGGTAGCATTCGCAGGAGTACCTATGTAACGAAAAGGAGTTCATCAAAATATTCTTGATTCACAAAACATGCAGGAAGAAAAAGTAAAAAGAAAGCTCACTTTCACTTCTGCCTTCTTTATCGTTTTGATCATGTATCGATCATCATTGGTCAAACTCCCGAAGTGCATCGTTCCCACAGATGGAGAGCATATAATCAGCGGCGTCAACCTTAAACAGTCTGCGCAGAGTCCTGAATATCCGGTTCATGAAAAATTGGGTACATCAAGACTTAATAATTAATATATACTTAAAAATGAACGATAGCTAGCAAGGGATCAAATATCTCGAAGGCCACCTGAACACCAAAGGGCAGTAATCCTTCCACTTGAAATCACATGATTGATGTGGGGGTGTATATTTTGATCCTTCGGGAGGGAATTTCGTCCACATTTTTTCTCTGGGGTCGAATGCAGATGATTTTAGATCAAGTGACGGAACTTGTGCAGCATATCTACCTACAGCGTGCCTGTGCCATTGCAAGCAGAAGGAATCAAGATCATGATGACTACAGTAAAGAACAATAAATAGTATGCTCTAGGCCAAACACCATTGATTTTACTTGTGTATTCAGTCCTCATATATAATCAAAATCAGATTATTGAGTTAAAGAGCTAATCCCATCCACCGTCGTAGGATACTGAAAATGTAAACAAACAACTTCTACGTAGCTCGAATATAAGAGTTGCATTTATATGTATCGGAGTTCTGTATTAGATCATAGCTTTTAACCCCATAAAACTCGGTTGAAGATTGCGAATTAGCATACACTTTTGTTGAGTCATAGTATCGAATGATGGTCATTATCAGAAATGAATCATCACCATTCTCCTATTGCATATCTTACTTTACTACTGTCAACATAATGATCTCTCTCCAAGAATAGAAAACAATCCCTCAATAGAAACCCCAATTTTCAAAGGAAGTTCGAGAAGAAAAACATCCCAAACATCCCGATGTTGCTCGTGCATCCTGCGTTCCATGATTCTAAACACACAAAAACAAGTGCAACCACAACAAAGTAGGAGCAAAAGAGGATAGGATACACATACCTGATCCCAAGCTGTAGATTGAGCATAAGTTCGTAATTCTTGTGCCCTCTCGAAATCGTCTCCCCCTGCTTCTTCGTCGTCCTG